GACAAATCTTTAGCCAGACTCATCAAGAAAAAAAGAGGACCCATATAAATAAAATCAGAAATAAAAGAGAAGTGACAAATGACATCAGGAAATATAAAGGAATACCTGGAACCAGTACAAACATATGCCAACCAATTGGACAACCAGGAAGTAATAGATAAATTAATTACTAGGAACATACAATCTTCCAAGAATGAATCAGGAAGAAACAAAATATATGAACAGATGATTACTAAGAAAATTGAAGCAGTAATTAAAAATCTCCCAACAAAGAAAAGTTCTATACCTGATGGTTTCACAGGTGAATTAGCCAGACATTCAAGGAATACTGATTATTCTCAAACTATTCCAAAAATTTAAAAAGAAGGGAAGTTCCCAAACTCATTTTACGAGGCCATCATCACCCTGATACCAAACTAGCTAAAGACATTACCAAAACAAAAGAAAATCATAGGCTAATATCCCTGATGAACACAGATGAAAAAATCCTCAACAAAATATTAGCAAACCAAATTTCAACAGTGTATTAAAAAGATCATGCACCATGACCCCAAGTGGGATTTATTCCTGGGATACAAGGTTGGCTCAATATCCACAAATCATAAATGTGATACATGTCATAAACAAAATGAAGGATATTAGATGCAGAAAAAGCATTTGACAAAATCCAGCATCTATTTATTATAAAAACGCTCAGCAAAGTGGGAAGAAAGGGATCATACCTCAACATAATAAAGGCCATATATAACAAATAAACAGCCATCATCATACTCAAGAGTCAAAAGCTAAAAACATTTTTCTTAAGATCAGGAACAAGACAAGGATGTCCACTTTCACCACTCTTATTCAACATGTGTAGAACGTGCCTAAAATAGGGAACATAATTTGTTTTTTATTTACTACAATTTTATTTTAATTGAATAGGGGGAGGAAACCTGTCAATAAAGCCTTTTTGAATCACTCCCCATGTTTTTGTTTTGGGGTTTTTTTTTGGTGTGTGTGTGGGGGGGTGGTATTCTGGATTTCCATCTTGATTTGAAATTTGGTATGTCAGATACTTGTAGCTGAAGGCACTTATCCTTCCTCTCAGCTAGATTGTTCTTTCCCTATACTTCCCTTGTCTGTCCTGAATGTTACCAAATACTGCCACCAAACTTGGCAATCCCCCATTTTGGAACATGACCTGTTAAAAGACACACAGCTCTAACTCCCAGCTGACACAACCTGCCCCTGTCAAAGAGCTTGTGGGCATCATCCTGTCACACACATCTTCACACCATCCTCCACACTGGCATCCACTCTTCTGCATTCTGAAAATGATTAATTTTTTAATAAGATACCTCACGTTTCTTATTTAGGTGTCCCAAGAATCAAAGTGTATTATTATTCAGGCGACCTAATTTTTAAATCACTTTTTGCAGTGCAGTAATGACTTCCGAGAGTTTTACTCCCCAGGACGTTTCTTCCCAGCTTTGGCCATCCTTTGAGATTATTGGTGCTTAAAATAAAAGGAAGAATGCCTTATAACATGAGCCTATTATTTTAAATCTGATTTTCCTTCCATTAAAATAAAGGGGGAGAAATAAGTGTTCTCAATATCGAACATGTCCGTCTCTTCATGGGTTGCAATCATTTAGCTGAAAGGCAGGATGTTGCTGCCTACAGTCAAGTTCCAGGTGCCTCTTCCCAGGAGCCTGGGCCAGCCTTTGGTTACTGAGACGCTGCTTAAGATCACAGAGAATGGCCAGCATATTTCAAACAATCTTCTGTTTACACTGGCTTGATTAAACATCAATTTACTTAATTGTAAAAAAAAAAAACAAAGAAAAACTCACCTGACATATAAGATGTCCCTATTTTCTCCTACTTCAGAATTTGTAAAAATAAAAATATAAAAATGCATTATACTTGCTGAAAAGTTAGAAAACACAGGCCAAAAAAATGAGTTAAGATGATCTAAACTCTCACCCTCCAGTGATATTTTGACATAGCTCCTTTCCAGTTCCTTCATGCGAATATAAAAATCATGTTTGCACCTGGCCGGTGTGGCTCAGTGGATTGGGCATCTTCCCATGGACTGAGAGGTCCTGGTTCGATTCCCAATCAGGGCACATGCCTGGTTGTGGGCTTGATCCCCAGTAGGGGGCGTGCAGGAGGCAGCCGATCCATGTTTCTCTCACATCGATGTTTCTATCTCTGTCTCCCTCCTTTCTCTCTAAGAAAATCAATAAAAACATTTAAAAAAAAAACAAACATGTTGGCAATTCTGACAACACTACAAATGCTCAAGCACTATGCATTGGGCACTTCTCTAAGCACTGCAAATGGAATATCTTGTTGAAACCATGCAATTGACTAAAAGACAGAAACTACTGTTCCTCCCATGTTACAGGAGAAAAAAAGGCTCAGAGTGGTTAGAGAAAAGCAACTTGACTTCTGCTTTATCCTGATGGTTGTTAACAACACAACAGAGATTCAGACCCAGGCATCCCGGCTCCAGAGCCCACACTTCAACACTAGGCCCCACTACAACTCAAGACACACTCAGCACTATACCGTGAGCACCTTTATGTCAGTAAACGCAGGTCTTCAGCATCAGTCCCCGTCGTTTTAAATGCCCCATAGTGTTCCACGGAATACACGTCACTGCACTTTCATTCCAACAGGAGCCTTGCGTCCAAAAGTCATCTCAACTGCTTTAGGATCTGCTGTGTACATTAACCTTTGTATTTGTTTCTATCTGTTTTCATAGATGTACAACTATGTCCTTGTCCACCTAATTCCTTGCTCACACAATACAGGCCTCACTATGGAAGCCATTTGCATCACTGTCTCCTGAAATATGACACTCAACTATTTGGACTTACGACTGAGTCAATAAAATATGGACAATCTATTGGCTTCACTTGACTGCTTTCCCTTTTCTGCCCCAATGGTTCAAACAGAAAAGGGCCCCCATTTCTCATGAGGGGAATCTTAGACTACTTCCCTTAGCTTAATTTAAGTATGGTAAACAAAAGGGCTTCAGACAGGTGTGATACACCTGCCCCAGGGAAGCCACTCCCCCAACCTAACCTGGGCCACTGAAAAATTAGTCTTTCCTTTCATCACGAGTTTTACTGCTCATTAGACTTTCAGTTGCTATAAGTTTCCTCACTTTTGAATTGTGCCTTTTAACCTTCTTGCCAAGTTTTGTCATTTCTGAAATACAACAAGAATGCCAGTTTGTACAACACACCATCCTCTTGGACAGCGGCTACGTCACCTCCCAGGGACACCAGATTTATCTTGACTGAAAAATCCCTCTTCCCTGCCTGAAGACTCTCCTTCCCTTTTGCTCCTCCTTCCTGTCAGATAGGGAGAATACCTGGACAGGCAGAACTATACCCCTTAACAGGAAGCAATTACAAAAAAGATGAAGGCCTTAGTGCATTTATCCTTTGTACAATTACAAAGAGGCTTATTCTAAGGAGGAAATGATATTATTATAATTAGTTATTAATAACAGAAAAGCAGCAAAGAAAAGGCCAGACATTATAGACATGTTCCCTACAAAACACTAGGGAAGGGATCCAACAATGAAAAGACAGACACGTGTCAATAAAGTTGGGATGACATATGGAGGGTACCTGCCTGTCAGTCACACCTGGAAACAGTTCATTGGCTAGAATGGGCGTGGCCACCACAAGCACATTAAGATTTGAATACTTAATCCCCTGAACAAAGAAGTTCACTCTCTTGGTTTCTCTTGAAATGCCTGGCTATGGTTCATGCTTTGTTTCCTGCATTCTCCCCTGTGGCCCCCACACAATGGACTGATGAACTGCAGCTAGCCTAATGCTGGATTGGAACTGGCTCCAACATGGAATGGCTCTGATTCTAGCTCTACTACAACCCCACCTACACTTCTTCTATGACGAGACTAAGGAAAATGGGACTATGGAAACCTAGGGGGTATCACTCCATGAAAATAAAGCTTTCTCCTGTATCACATCCTCCCATGCAAGTCTCAGAAAATTCCCTCTCAGGGTATCGCAAGGACTCCACCTCAGCAACAAGGAGGGGAGATGAGACACATTCTTCTCCAAGAACACATATACCGTGATTTAACCAATCCGTGTGGTGTCTGCAATGTAGCACTGACATGACCAAACCTACACATATGTATGTACGTGTGTGGTTTGTGCAGGTGTCCAATTATTTCTATGCGACATTCTTAGAAGTGGGATTGCCTAGTCAAAGTTATGCCCTGTTTTCTTTTCCTTTAGGGCTGCTAATATGTGTTTGTAGCTTCTGGGAAAAGGCAGATATACTTGAATTTTGCTTTGCATTATGTAACCTTATTTTGTAGAAGGGCCCCTTTTCCTCTTTCCCACAAAATAAATTTTCAACCATCAATGAGAAAACAAAAAAGCTTCATCATTCACAATTATTATGACAATCTGAACTAGTATGCTATTGGAAATGCTTCTCAGATTTGGAGAAGAAAAACGTTATTCCTGCTATAATTCTGTCAATTCCTGATGATGCTTCAATTAGACCAAAAATAAAAATAAAAATCTGGTCAAAGCAAGTACAGGAATCTGAGCCCACTTCTGTGAAGTGGGGAAACACTGCCTGCTCCACAGACTTCATGCATGAGGGCACGTGAAGCAGCAATGAAGCCCGCTGGCCCTGGAGCCAGACCCCAGGGTTTACGTCCAGTCACACCACTTTTGAGCTGTGAGAGGAGACATAAGTACTTGGCCTCTCTGAGCTTCCACACATCCCTCCCAGAGCTGCCAAACCAGACAGTTAGGAAAAGGCTGAGTACTGGACAGGCACAGTGTGAACCCTCTGTAAGGGCTGGTAGCACGGAGTTGCTGTAGCAGCTACGGAAGGACAAAGGCCCTATGTGCCTTACAAGGCACACTGGTGTGGAGGCCATTACACCTCAGCAGAGGAGAGAAGACCCCAGCACTCCTCCGTGGTGAGCCTCACACAGAAGCCACCTGAGTTACCTCCGGGGCACGATAGGAAATGCACTGGAAGATCCAGTCCATGGCAGGCGAGTACAGGGGGAGGTAAGACGAAAGCTCCACTCCTTGGACCACCAGGTGGTTCTGCACTGTGTCCCCATGAATCTGCAGGAGACCAAATAAACATGCAGACAAGAAGGAAAGTCACATGAGAAACAGAGCGCGTGTGACATACAGACTGTACATACTTGTGAGCATGTGGATAACCCTGACAGAAAGCCTGGTTTCTCACGTGTTTTATTAAACTAGAAAAACAAGCCAAGTTTTCCATGTCACCAAGCTGACCTGTTCTGGGAATGTGTGCTGTGCAAAGAAGTAAAATAAAAATGATAAAAATGGAGCCAGTAGATGTTAAAAAGAAAGTCTTTATCAACTAGCAATGTTTCGTCAACACATGCATATGAATTTTCTCTGCTTGTTCAGTACAATCAACACATTTTAATGGTTGTCTGTAACAAGCACTGGTGTCATTTTCTAGGGTTTACACATTTACAGAGCTTCAAGGCAATCTCAACTTGGAAAATATTGGGTTTTGTGAATCCGGGATCATGGAACTGTTGTATCGATTAGCTATTCTGACAGTGCTCTCCTACCTGTTTGAACGTCAGGAGGAAGTCAAAAAAGTTCTTGTTCAGGCTTTCTTTGAGATGTGGAGCCACTTCCATTCCCACCTACAGCCAAACAGAATGAAAGGACCTTGACCGTGGAGAAACAGGGTGTAATAACGTATACAGTATGGGGTCATTTTTGTAAATTAAAAACATACACACAGAATACACAGGCATAGAGAAGTCCAGAAAGTTCATTTTTATTCTTTTTTGTATACATATTTTCTTATTCAATATGCACGTTATTATTTTCTTTAAAAAACCACAGAAACGCCCTGGCCGGTTTGGCTCAGCAGTTGGAGCGTCGGCCTGCAGACCAGAGAGTCCCGGGTTCGGTTCCCACTAAGGGCGCGTACCAAAAAAAAAAACAAACCACCACAGAAGCTATCTTTAGTACATAAGGAACAACATTTGCAGCAATCATCTCTACAATCTCCCAAATGTACTGAATGTATTTCTGAACAGATGACCACAGGGACATAAAGCACCAAGGAGGAATGTCCTCTCAAGGTTGTGTGCACAGCTTTATCTTTTCTGAAAAGTGATGCATACACATGCTCTGTGGGGTGTAAAAGAGTCGCAGGGAGTTCACTGTGGCAGTGTTAAAGTGCGTAGGTTCATTCTTTGCTGGGCAATCATGGAAGCAGAGACATTTTAAGAAGTATTATATAAGACAAGCATGAAGTGTAACAATGTTAAAATCCATTGATTCCTGCATGCATTGTTAAAAAAAAAAGACTAACATTTCCAGCTGAAAGAATCTGCTAATCAGAAGGCAGTGGCAAGAGGCCTGGGCTAGATGGAAATGTGAAGTCTGAGTTATGGAGGAAAGCCCCTGTGTTTAAAACAAAACACAGCATCTCACGTCCTTGAACTAAGTTCCTCAGATATACCTCAAATGCTCACAGGCTTTAGGGCAGAAACAACTTTGTAAGGAAAGCTGCTTTTCTGGGACCTGTTTCCAACAGGGGCAGATTCCTGCCATTCCTCCCTACCCTGGAAGAACTCCTTTGAGAAGGACTATGCAAGATGCACGGGGTGTTACATTCTAAGAGCAGCTGTAAGGCTGCTGAGGATCCAGTTCTACTATGTTTTTATTCTATTGTCTTTCCTTCCAATTAATTATTTCTTAGCAAAACACTACCTGTTGGGTGATAAAACAAAGGCCAGTGGACAGACAGCAGAGATGAACTGAAAGGCCCTGACACGGAAGAGGAGGACATCGAACTTTCCTTACAAGCTGAGCTCTCTCAGGCATGGCTCCCTCACAGCCTTTCTCCTGGTTCATCCCTTCCCATCCAGCCCAGCGAGCAGCATGGAGACCTGGCTGGATCTAAGAGATTTCTGCCCAGAGGAGCAAGGGTGGGTGGCTGCTCCTGACTCCCACCTGCCGCTCCTGTCTGCCTGGCACTCATTCTCACTGTTTCTGCCTGTGGGGAATCAAACTTTTCTCTCGGATCAGGTCTGTGGCACAGCTGGATCCAGCCCACCCTGAGTTCCAGGGGTGGGCATGTGACCCAGGCTGGGTCTGCAAGCATATTCCACCTCATGCCACAGTGACTGGTCCACATTGGACAAGTGACCCAAACGGTTCACTGCAAAGCAGCAGAAGACTGACTGGAAATACTGAGGTCCTACGTTGAGAGGATGGGAGCCTGGGGCTGCTACGGGCCAGCACATGGGAAGAGAAGCCTCAGAGCAGTCGACCCAAAGGAAAGCAGAGCTGAGTGATGACAAGATGGGTGACTTTTCACAATGCTCTAAGGCCAGGTACATGGCATCATATTCAAAGTAAAAAAACAGAAAAGAAGCCCATGTCAATACTCAAGGAGATAGGACACTGCCACATTTGTGAGCACAGCAAGTGAGGCGGCCTACCCGGCACAGATAGGCCCTGGCGTACACTGACACCAGCGGGTCTCCAATCCCCCGAATCATACACGTCAGGCGGGGCAGACATTCCGAGATGCCCCTGTCAGAAACAAGAGAGGCAGCGTTACACTCAATGCAGCTCCCTGTGCTTTCGTTTCCCAAATAAAGACAAAGCCACAAGTTCTAAATTAGGGGTGGGGTGGGGGATCAGGTCTGTGGAACAAACCCAAGTCAAATTCAGTTTCTAAGGCTCTGTAAGGACAGCCTTTCTCTCGTTCAGTTCCCACTGAATGGTTTCTCTATGCCAGTGCTGGGGTCTCCCCTTCACTCTGTTCCTGCCGAGGTCATACTCGTATGAATTTAGCAGTGTTGTTCCCCAATTATTTTCTGTGGATGGGTACCCCTGATCTCGATAGTCTTGCCATTATCTACAGGGGTGGGCAAAGAAGGTCTACAGTTGTAATAAAAATAAGTGCACAAAATCCCACACACAGTATAACACGAGGACTGCTCTGCTCTGCGCTCACAGCTGCAAGCCTGCTTTCGCACTGCTGTGTGCCCCTTTGGCACTGGCTGTCCTGCGCCCGCTCCTGCCCAGCACCTGACACTCACCCCACTGGAACAGCAGCCCCCAATGGGAACTGTGCTGTACTCACTTATCCTGCAACATGGGACTGACTCCCTCTGCTTGGGGCATTATCTTACCCCACCTGGTGAGGCAAAATAACTGTTTCTTCCATACTGGCGTTGCCCCCAAAACAACCCCAGGCACCCCTAGATCCCAGTCAAACAGGTTTGGCATACCTGATTCTAAACGCAATCAAACCACTCTCTGGAGCACTCGGAGTCAGCCATGGCACTGAAGAGTCCGTTACCTACATGCTACCCAGCAGGACTCAGGGCTTCCTGGCTCCACAGAAAGATGACCTGGTTTCCCCAGACTCTGTAAACTACTCCCAAAACAATGTGTGTGGCGACCCAGAACGGCCTGACACCCAAGAGCAAAGGCAGTGGCTTCTGACATTGCCATCTTCATCACCCACTTTGGACAGCAGTGGCGCAGAGTCAGGCCACTGCCTGCCATGTGCTGCTCTTAGTGTGGTGTGTGCAGCCCAGTGGACTCACAGACCTGTGCTAGGATCCTGTTCACAGGAGGCAGCTGAGGCTCAGAGCCGTGGAACGACTTGCTCAAGACCATGTGGACAACAGCAGCAGATCCAGGACTCAGATGAGCTGAACTGTGTCCATGAGCTACTCAACCACCTCTCCTAACTTGAGTTTATTCAACAGTAAAATAAGGACAATGGTATCTCACTTGGATTAAATAAGAAAATGCACAGAAGACCTGCCACGAAGTTCCTAAACAATGACAGATACTACCACACTGCCACTCGTGTGCGTGGGGGAGTGAGGGAGAATCCGGCCTTCAGAACTGTTATGGTTCTGGACATTTAAGAGAGCCTTACGTGCTGGAGAGGAACTTGTTACACTTCAGGATGGACGCTTCCACGTAGCTACCAAGACACTCTGTTAAGAAAGACATCTTCCAGACAGTGTGCCCCACGGGGAGAAACTGGCTGCTCGGAAACAGACTGGTGTGTCTTCAGGAGACAGCCACAGGGGCTCTCAGCAACCCCGAGAATCAAGCCAGCCAGTAGCTTATGGTTTCTATATCTGGCTTTCAAGGTTTCATACCCATTTAAAATAAAATTTGAAAAATTTTCCATGAATCACATGGTTGCATGTTGAAATTAAAACTGGGTTTTAAGCATTTCCAATCAAGACTTTGAACAGAGAAAACTTGAACTTCTGATAACTAAGATTCAGTCTGTGTATAAGCCTGATTCTCCGTTCTTCATACTGGCATTTGTGCAGAGATGCTTGACCCTGTTCCTTTCAAATTCCTAGATGCAGAGAAAACACATGAAGACAAACCATTTAAATGGAAAGAATGAATGTGGGAATGTTACTCACTGCAAACAAAAGCCCGGTGCACGACATGGTCCTAGTAAACAGAAAGCCGCCAGAAGCAGGCAGAGGGCGAGGGCTCTCCAGGGGCCTGCTCTCCAGGCTGGCAGCTGCAACAGGACCAGCGTTTCCCCAGGAGCTTCGGGGCACCCACCACATGCCTTCTAGTGACAGGGTAACTCTTTCTGCCTCTACAATCACCAGACGAGAAAGGATACAATCTCGGAACGAGTTCCCTGATCGAAGCAATCTTGAAGAACCAATTCAAGCACGTTTCCTTGGCTGTGTCGTTGGCACTCTCCGGAGAGAAGTGGTCTGTAATAGAGAAGTCGCACGTCAGCCCTCCCGTGCTCAGGATCTGTCACAGCCGCTGCACATGCTGGGCGAGGGAGATGTTCCAGTGAGCAGAAGGGGTGGCTGCCTAGTTCTTCTATCCTCTTCCTCCCGAATACTATTTGTCAGGACACAACTGATGACAATGAGAGCTTTTTAAGTGCAGGCCCATTCACAGTGCTTCAGTCAGCTCTCACCCCACAACAGCTGCCAAAGCATGTGCTTTCAGTGTGACCTTCTGCAAGGCACAGATTAGCAGCTTGCCCACAGACAGAGCAAGCAAATCTAAGAGCTGTAATTGCACTCAGGCGGGCTGGCCCCACGGCCCACATTCTTAGCCACTGCTCTTGTGTAATTCTTGGTGTACCCACCAGTAACTAAAGTTATACTGTGGACAATTCCAGATGTTTTAGGAGCCTACAACTGTAATCTGAAATGTGACTGAAGCCTTTGCCCTAAATAGCACATGGGCCAGACCTAAAGGTACTTCACGACGCTCAGGTGAGAAAGCAGCCCGAGGCAGGCTGCCGGCTGGATGCCGGCTCTCAGACTTGAGTCATCTTGTTCTCTTCCTCTTCAATGACGGAAATCTCACTTTTCTGCTGGGCAAATGGCCACCCTTACAGCTACGTGTGGCCATGTGACCAAGTTCTGGACCCAGGACATCAACAGAAATACAACTTCTGGGAAAGAGCTTTACAAGGAGGGGCTTGACCTTCTCCACTGCTCCTTCCCTCCTGTTGGCTGGAATGCGGGTGCGGTGGCTGGAACCTCCACAACCACCTCAACCACGAGAGCAACAGAGAGAAGTCAGAAGCCCTGGCACCAAAGGCTAGCCCCACCAGCCCTGACCTTGTCAGTTGTTACTTTAAGCTTTCTGGCACTGACACCCAAGCCTAATGCTATGTACATCTCAATAAGGAATGGAAAAGAAAAACACCCCATCAACACCGGGGCCATTTTGTTGCACTCCACCTGGAAATGACTTCCCTAAGTGATTTGTCAGGTTGGAGCCTGACTTCTTCCCCGGACGTGCTCTGTTTTCAGGAGTCTATCAAAAGGGAGAAGCTAATTACTTCAGAACAGAGCAGAAGAGTGTTGGCTTCTGGGCTCCCAGCGTGTGCAGCGAGTCAGTGTTTGCCCCGCGTTCTGCTGCAACTGAGATGACCGAAGTGCCTATGGAATCAGCAGAGATGGCCCTCTTGGTGCTTCACGAGCAGGGAACAGTCACTGACTCAGCTGCCCAAGTTTTAGAACTGCAATCTCAAGTATTAACCTATTTTTAGATATGCTCCCCTGCTTCATTCCCAAATTATTTTTCCATTTACAAAGGGAAAGAAAATTACCATTTTCCCCCTGGCTTGAACCTGTGCACTTAACATTTTTTCAAGTTCCAATAGATCCAGACAAAAAACTATGAGGATTATTTTGAAATTTTTGTCAATGTTGCCTTGTGGAAAATGGAGGGGTGGGCTTATTCCCCTTCCTATGACTGAATCATATGACTTGAAACCCTAAAGCAAAAGTAAGTCTCTGAGATCTTCTAATAAAATCCCTCACTTGTGCCCGGCAGTGTGGCTCAGTGGTTGAGCATCATCCTATGCACCAAGAGGTCACCAGTTCAGTTCTGGGTCAGGGCACATGCCCAGGCTGCAGGCTCGATCCCTGGTTGGGGCGTGCGAGAGGCAGTTGATAGATGTTTCTCATCAATGTTTCTGTTTCTATCTCCCTCCCCCTTCCTCTCCCTGAAATCAAGAAAAACATATATTTTTAAAAATCTTCTCTTTCCAGTTGTGGGAACAGAGGTTCAGCAAACCTCTGAATGGTATATGTATGGTATACATATCAATTATAAACTATATAATAATCTGCATTACCAGTTCAAAAATATTGTTAAGAAAAGTTTTATGTTATACAAAATTTTAAAATACTAGAGCAAATTAAATATTACATTCCTTTACTTTACTGCTCAAGGCAAATGTTAAGAACCAACTAAAGGTAGTGCTCTAGGCTCTGGAGAGACAACAGTACATAAACCAGACCCTGTCCTCATGAAACTTACATTCCAGTGAGGGAAGAAACACAGTAAACAGGAAAAATAAAAAGCAAGTAAACAAATAAGATACTATCCAGTAGCAGCCAACATGATGAAAGCATAAAACTAGGTACCGGACTAGAGAGTGCCTTCAGTTGGGAGGGGGACTGGGACTGCGGGGTCATTAGATAGGGTGGTCGGAAAAGGCTTCTCCAGAGCTATCATTTGAACTGAGCCTGAATGACGACAAAGAGCCAAACATGCTTAGATGTGGAGAAAATGTGTTTGCAGGAAGAAGAAACAGCACGTGCAAAGGCTCCGAGGTAGCAACGACCTCTGACATGGTCAAAGAACAGGAATCAAGCCAATGTGGCAAGCAAGGAAGACGCAGGCATCCCAAGCCAGGTCCCACAGGTGGCAGCCCTGGTGGGCAGTTTGAGAGTTTCTCTGCATGCTGCGAAAGCTCCCGCAAGAGTTCTGAGCAGGTGGATGACATGCCCAGATTTATACTTTAGCATTTGGGAATGAATTCAGAATTTGATATTTAATTCAGAAAAGACTTCAATGTAACTGATAGCAGAGCTTTTTCCTTCAAGTTCCCAATTATTTTTCTTATGGTGTTTCTTTTTCTAACCCTGACCTTCTGTGGCTATTTTAGGGGGAAGAAGGAGACCAATGAGTCTAGTTCTCTATCACTTGCCAAATCGCTGCAGTAGCAGTGAGAGGTCTCTTTATATCACAGAGCTTGGGAATGCAATGTCACCTTTGTGGGGCCAGAAGGCCGGTCATTAGGGCCTTGCTGATCCAGATGTGGCCCAGGTCAGCCACAGGGATGGAAGATGGAAATGAATGCCCACGGCTGACGATGACAACCACCATAAACCTCAATTATTACTCCCAAGATAAAAATAAAACTCTATCGCAGAGTAGATGGTCTCTTCACACATAGGCTGGATTAAGAGATATTGGGAAAAAAATTATTACATCTACTAGCGTGATCCTTTCATGAACCCAAAGGACACTGGTGTCTTTCTAAACTCAAGAGAGCTGTGCCTCAGTTAAACCTCCTGAATGGAAAGGCTCCGAAATTAAATCACCAGTCAGAACTTGATTCAAACGGGAAAAATAAGTACACATGCCACCAGATTTATCTCCACACTTCGTTTCTTTAGGTAGAATTCTGCACACATTTAAAAAGTTTTCTTCACAGTTATCGTTAAGAGTCACATCCCAGAGATCACTAACATTTTGAGAAAGGTGTATTCCTTTCCCTTTCAAGTTCTTGGAACCAGGAAATACATGCAGATGAAGATTTTAACTAAGAGGGCAAAAAATGAAGAAATTATGTTCAAGAAAACAAGAGCCTGAGTTGCACCGCTGAAGATAAAAAGAATCGGTCTTTCAGGAAGGAAGAATTCTAGTGATAAAAGTGCTAATTAATAACTTCAGACAAGGACTGGAAGTGCATATGAAAATCCCCTTTTGTCTTGAACTTTTATAGTTTAGGTAGGGAGTAAATTATTAGTAATATTTTCTTACTTGTCTTTAAAATGCCTGTACTGTACAGTTGTAAAAATTGGGAGAAAAAAAATTATTTCAGTAAATGCAAAATCAAAAGCCTCTGGGGGCCAGGCAGATAAATCTGGCGGTGTGTGTACTTATTAATATAAAATATTAATATAAATATTTTGAAGTAGTTAGATATATAACAATAGGAAGTAGTAGTATCTGTATAAAAAAAAAAAAATTTTTTTTTAAATACTGTTGTAGCCAAGGAAAACACCTACTTGGGTTTAATTCTGCCTGCAGGCTGGGAGTGTCCTGCTGCTGGTATAAAACAAAGGCCCTGGACTGACCAAATCTTTGAGCTGGCAGAGAAGGCCTCTCCATTCAGGTGGCCTCTGCCTAGCTCCCAGGCTGAACCTGCAGTCCTGAGACACCCAGACGCGGGGGCACTGCAAACATCACAGAGATGGCGTGGCGCAGTGAGCACATCCACAGGGGTGAGTCAGAACAGGCGGAATGTGTGCCTGATGAATCCAATTCTTCCAAAACATATAACCCATATAACCCTTTCAACATATAACCCATATTTTTAAAAATGATTACTGAGACACTTTAAGCCCTTTTATTTGTATTAAGTCTCAGAAATCCACTGTATTTTTATTTTACTTATTTTTTATCCTCACCCGAGGACATTTTTGCATTTATCTTCAGACAGACCGAGAGGGAAGGAGGAAGGAAAAGAGAGAGAAAAACACTGAAGTGAGAGAGACGCACTGACTAGTTGTCACCCACACAACAGCAACTGGGGCCGGGGACAAACTGCAGCCAAGGTACGTGCCCTTAGCAGGAACCGAACCCGGGCCTCTCTGGTCCACGGGACGACGCTCTAACTGCTGAGCCAAATACATATTTAGAAATATGTATTTCTAAATATTCACAGCATTGGCCAGGCCGGACGGTGCGAGCCCAGCACCTCTGGCAGCAAGGCTGTGGGCAAACCCCTGACTACTCCGCACTGGGAATGCCTGTCTACGATGAGACAAGACGATTCCTAAGAGCTCTTCTAGCCCTAAAGGTCTGCAGGGTTCTGTCTCTTTCTGAGAAATCTGTTACTGATTTATTTGACATTGTTCTTTAATATATACAAAGTTGGTTTTTTATATGTAGAAAAAATATTAAAATGTCAAGCAGCAGAGGAATTTAAATTGATTTGAAAGTTCTGAGAAATCTAAATGTAACACCTTTCCATTCTCACATATTCAAATTGCTCAAATTCCTAGCTGGGCTATTTGAAAATTTTCTGATGTTATTGGAAGATAGACCATTAGAAATGTAAAGATGTTTCTTATATTTTTTTTAAAAAAATTTTTTTCTTTACTGATTTGAGAGAGAGAAGAAGGGAGAGAAAGAAAGAAGCATCGATGAGAGAGAACATCAACTGGCCACCTCCTGCACGCCCCCCCACTGGGGATCGGGCCCACAACCTGGGCATGTGCCCTGACCGGGAATCGAACCAGCGACTTCTTAGTGCATGGGTCGACCAGCTCACCTACTGAGCCACACCAACTGGGTTCTTATATGTTCAACACACCAAAAGTAAAACAGTTCATGTCAGGTCTCAATAAATCCTGATGCCAGGGCAGAAGGACACCCATGGGACAGCTTGACGTTACCTGGTGAAACGCTGCGATCGCCCACACACATGGACAAGATGCGCTCGTACACCAGACTGCCTGGGGAGGGAAAGACACCATTAGCTCTTCAGAATAAACACTGAACACCCTCTGTGAACCAGGACCCGGACATCTCCCAGACTTGTGACAGGATGCTGCCGCCTATGGCAAATTTTAAGCCACATTTCTTTGTTTTGTTTTTAATTAAAGAAGGGACTTTTACTTTTCTGTGAGGCAGGTAAGGGATCCCTCTCCTCTTCGAGTCTTAACTGAACACATGGTCAAAGCCGCCTCAGATACCTCCATTCCCTCCACAGAGAATGGTCCACAGCGGTTCTAGACAAGGGGCGGGAAACGGCAGCCACAGGCTGAATGCACCCATGATCTATTTTGTTTGGCCAGTTCCCACCACGTCCTCCTGTCTCTTATCACCAGCCTGCTTCACTCATTTATGGGAAGTGTCTGGTGCCCAGGGATTGAGATTCAACTAGAAGTTCTCCAAGGGTAGAGATCTGTCTGTTCTGTACACTAACACATCCCAGCACGAGACTGGTGCTTGGCACACAGTCGCAAATGCTCGACTCTGCTGTTGTAGCTGAAAAGCAGCACAGACAATATGCAAACAAATGGATGTGCTTGTATTCCAATAGATCTTTATTTACAAAAACAAGTGGGCAGTCTGGACTTAGTCTACAGGTCCACCCCTAACCTAGCACAAAAAGCTTTGTTTATTCCATGCGTGGTTTTTAGAAAATGCTATCAATATTCAAGGGAAAAAATTATAGTTCTATTCATTTTCTGGACCCTTCCAAATAACCTTCAATGTCAAAAGTATTCCCTGTGCTCATGTGTTTCTTTTTTCCTCCATAAGTCCATCATTCAAGGCAGTAAATAACCACATACATTGTCTACATATAGAAAGAGTCAAGAAAGTTATGAGAACCATTTCTGGTCAAACAACATGAGACCACATGACATCATCAAGCAATGACACAATGCAAGGAGTACTGGCAAGAAGCCTGCCAAGCTAAAGTGAGTCATCGAGAAGCCTCCTACAGGGTGGACAACTTACACCACAGTCACCTAGACACTTGCTGAAAATGCACACTCCTGGGCCCAGCTCAGAGCATGTGAAAAGGAGTATTTTCGCAAGTGAAGACTAGGACTATGAATTTTGAATTAGCTTGGTAGGAAATTGTATACACAATCAAGTATGAGAACCACTGATTCAGGCCGGAGCCATTTTTAATTTTAAAACTTGCCTTGGGTATACTAATCTCTAAACACAGCAACAGACCTTCCTCTTCTCTCTGAACCGGTGGTTCTCACCTTGGCTGAACACTGAGTACCTAGGGCACTTGAACACATGCTGAGGCCTCTGTCCACCCTCAGAGGATCTGACGTAAATGGTCTGTGGTGCAGCCTGACCACTGGGAGTGTTTCTATAAGGCTCCCCAGGTATGCAGCCAAGGATGAGAACAACTGCTCCAAACCACTTTTAATTCAGAAGCTCCTGGAAGCCTTAGAGAACACACTCCCTTTCTCAAAACCGCCTGCCTTTGTCCTCCTAGCAGGAAGTGTTTGTTACCCGGCCACTGGGCTCCACGTGGCAGCCTCACCTGGTGCCGTGAGAGACTGCCTCTGTGGCCACCACACAAACAGCACTGGTGTGCACGCCTTTACCTCGGGACACACTGCCCTCTGCCTGACTTCTCCCTCCCGCGGCACAGAGGTCAACCTTAAAGGCACGGAATATCTTGACTTCCTCCACAAAAAGCCTGCCACCTCTAAAAGCGCAAACCATTTCTATATTTCACCTTCACATTCTAAAGGGCCTTTAACAGCACAATCATTTCTGGCCAAACAAGTTTGGTGAATATTTGTTTCCTTTAAGCCAGTGGACAACTACTTTTGAGAAATAATACCTGGTCCTAGATTTATTTTTCTTGATCCACTTTCTAATACATCAAGGGCACTAAATACCTAAACAATGACAACAGCTGACATCTGAGCACTCTATGCCAGGCACTGGTCAGAGTTGTCTACACTGACCCTGCCAGAGAGCAACTATCAGAGGAAACACATATGCTTCCTACATATTCTCTCATTTACTTCTCTCCAGAAACCCCCGAGTCAGGGTCCATCATGCCCATTTTACAGGTGAAGAAACAAAGGCTCGAGGTCACACAACCGTGGAGATGAGGCAAGGCATGCAAGCTGACTCCGGAGCCCAGCTCTGTGCTCCGGGCCTCTGAAACGTCAGTGAGAGCTCAGCTCACGCCTGCAGGCGCCCACACCCTGCCCAGCATGATGCTCCAGCCCTCAGTCAGTCCTGTGCCCAGCACAGGGAGCCTGCCCCCCGACTGCCAGCACCCCTGTGGAGCAGACGCGGGAGCTGGAACTGCGCATTGCAAGTTCCCTCAAACAAGGCAGAGGCCACTCCTTTAGTAAAAGGCGGAAAGCAGCTCAGCAGCCCCAAAGCATAACTGAGTCTTCTTGAGCAGGTGCAGGCTTGGCCCTGCCCTCAGAAATGCCATTCCCAACAGATCAGACATGGGCACTGCGGAGTACTCCGTGGGGAGCCGGGGAGGGAGGAAGCACTAAGGTCAGGCACTCTGCATGTGGGATTCCAAACAGGAAGAGTGACCCCAAGGTCAAAGTGCCCAAAGGCAGAAGAAGGTGCTGACCAGTTGCTCTCTCAGCCTGTCCCATCACCTTGCTGCTCACCACCCTTTGAGGGGCCCCAATTTGATTCCTTTCTTGGGTGTCCCCCCAATATTTCTTTAAGCAATTACAAATGAATATGCACAAAGACAGAACATGCTCCATCCCTGTTCTGCATCTAGACTTTCCACATGACAGCGCAGGCTGGAGACCTCTCCATCTGACAGTACAGAGCAGACCCTGGTGCTTAGAGGCCTCCTGCTTCTCCAAGTCCAGACATCCCCTATGGGCCCCTGGGTCCTTTCCGCTCTTCTGCTGCTACACACAGGATGAGGCCCAGAGGTGGAACTGCTGGGTCAAAGGCATATGCATTTGCAGTTTTCACAGAGCAAAATCTCCTCGAGCCACGTATAAGGTAAGTAAAACAGGTGCTCTGACTGCGGAGAGAACCACTACCTATGTGATCTTGGGCTGCTTAACTTCTGCAAGCCTCAGCTTCCTCATCTGTAAGGTGGGAATAATTCTAGACCTACCCCCAGGGCTGTTATGAAGACAATGTGACTTAGCATTCCTAAAGCATCTACAAGAGTCAGGCCCAAGGCTACTGTCTGTTGAGGGTTCACCACCATCACTGCCAACCCCAGCCCAGCAAGGCCAGCAGGCACCTGCTCTGCACCTGGCCTGCTGAGGTCTCGGACTGGAGCGCCACCCGCACAGGTTAGCACGATGGAAGCCGAATTTTCACAAGGTTAAAGTCTGGACCGGGCTCGGCTTGCAGGTTAGAAACTGGATCTCACTGGAATCCTGAGTTTCTCTCACCAGGGATGCTGACACTTGCAGGAGGCCAGTGAGGGGAACCAGAGGCTACTGTGTTAATTCACCATGAGAAACAGCACTGTCAGGAGGACCAAACACCACCACTGAGCTGTCTCTGACTGATGTCCTCCCTCCCTGAAGACAAGCTGCACACAGGAGAAGTGGAGACCCAGGAGTGCATGAGCTGATATCTACTGGGGGAGCCTAATGCAGCCATCCATTCTAGATCATTCCCCCAGCTCCACCACCCTCCTGGGTCCACAGCACCCTCAATTCTTCACCTGAAGCTCTACAGTGGTTTCCTCCCTGAGCTCCCCACCCACCCTTGCTCTGCAACAGTCTCAACACAGCGACCAGAGGGAGCTCATCAGAACTCAGACCGGGCTGCATCCCTGCTCTGCTCAACACCCCTGTGGCCCTCATGTCCTCAGGTTCAAAGCCAAGTCCTTCCAATGTCCTCCAAGGCCAGCCACCAGGATGTCTGGCTACGTCAGCTCCTGCCCTCCCTGTTGCTCACCTGACACCAGCCACCCTGGCCTCTCTGTTCTCCAAACCTGCTGGCCGTGCACCCCACCCAAGGTCTCTGCACTCCCAGCCCAGCAGAACAACTACTTATCCACATTATCTACTTCTCTGTGAAGCCTCCTCTGACCACCCTGTTCAAAGTGTGGCCTCCCCACCGCTGGCCATCCCGCCAGGTCCCCTCACCCCCTCCGTGTTCCTCCCCAGTGGGCGCCATCTGCCATACACTGGGTCACGTACTTGTCTGCGAGCCCTCTTCCACTGGCACCCGCCGACCCACAGCACAGGCATCTTTGTCTCTTGTTTGCTGACACATCCTCAGCACCTAGCAGTGCACCCTCTGCGTCATCTGAACCTGGGAGACCTATCTCTTAGGTGGGGCATATCTTCCTTTTATCTATTTTCTTATTCTCACTTGAGGATGCGTTGATTTTGAGAGAAAGGGAAAGGAGAGAGAAAGAAACATCGATGTGAGAGAGTGACATCGATCGGTTGCCTCCCACATACACCCCGACTGGGGATGGAACCCGAAACTTAGGTATGTGCCCTGACCAGGAATTGAACCGTAACCTACGGCACACAAGACACTCCGCTCCAACCACTGCGCCACCTGGCCAGGGCGGAACGGTACTTCTTTTAGCCCAGTCAGTTTCCATTTCCCTTCTTCAGGAAACAGCTTCCCCAGGTCTGGGTGATCTGCACACTTCATTCCCCAGATACCACAAATGGCCAGGGACTGAAATGTGACCCAGGCCAGGCCAATGAGATGGCATTCTGGGACTACCCTGGCTTGCTCGGCTCAGTGGTTATTCAGACTGAAGAGTCACTGGTTCGACTCCCCGTCAAGGGCATGTAGCTCAGTTGCAGGTTCGATCCCTGGCCCGTCAGGGTCATGCGGGAGGTAACCAAACGATATGTCTCTCTCACATCGATGTTTCACTCTCTCAGGTTCCCTCCTCCCTCCCTCCCATTCTATCTAACAACAACAACAACAAAATCAATAGAAAATATTCTCGGCTGAGGATTAAAAAAATAAAAGAATTCTTGGACTTTTATGGAATGCTGAGCAACAAGTCCCTTCCTTGTCCTGGGACTGCTGGCCAGCAGCTGACAGACACTGGGGCCACATTGCGGAGCTGGGGAATGAAGCCAACCCAAGGACAAGTACTGGAAAGGCAGGGACCTGAAGACCATGTTCGAGTTCCTGGGTCCCCTGTACCTGACACCAAAAACTACGCCTAGACTTTTCAAGAAATAACATAGTTATTGAATAAATAAATACCCCCTCTGCCAAGAACAGTATGAGTGAGGTTTTCTATATCACCTGTTCAGGCTAATACATTAAGGTCCCTGGTCTCCTATGCAGAACTAAATGGGTCTGGTTCAGATTTATTTTCCGACACATTAGATCTTTTGATGAATTGAAATGAACAAGCCTTGTGGGGCTGGAAGCCCCCGGTCCTTGCTTGGTAACAGTCATGCCTCTGTTCTGACTGCCTGCATGCTCAGCTCTGAGGCCCCTCTGTTCACTGGTTCTTATGGGGCACTGCACTGCTCAACATCACGTACAGCCTCAAGGACCACACAGTTTGAGCAAACTGCTGTCAGCATGACACTCTGGCCACTGACCACTGCCAAGCAGCCCAGGGGCCTCCTGATTCTCCAGAGGGGTTCAGGTCATTCTCTTTAGTCCAGATCTCTCTCCTGGATCCCCGCAGGTCATTCTGCCCAAAGGGTGGCACGCGGGACAAGGAACAACACAATGATGCAGGAAAACCTCCTACGAGCTGTAGCCGTCACCCAGGTGGGAGAGGACTACGGCCAGGTTTCCTCTGAGGACAAAGAAAATGGAGATACTGGGGAGACTTAGGAAGGTGAAATGAAGAACTGAGGACTGGATCTGGGGCACAGGAGAGAAGACACTCAGATTTTCAGCTTGGGTGACAAGGTACATGGGACCGTCACTCCCCAGATAGAAACCCAGGAGGGCAGGGCAAGGGCTGAGAAGAGATGCTGAGCTCAGCCCTGACAAGTGAGCCCCAGACGCATGGGACGGCGATGGCCTGGGTGGGCTCAGACAGGACGTGCGCTCGCCCTGCTCCCCTCACTTCCCTTATCAGAAGGTTAGAAAACACATAATGTAAGATTCTTTCAAAATAGCACCCTTGTTAAATTTGAAGCAACACTATTATCCAAATTCTGGAAAAGCAAAAACAAAAACTTAAACAAACATGTTTCCTAGACCTAGAGAAGAATGTGACTGGCACTTACCGAACGTGTCGAGTATGTCCGTGATGAGGACGAACTTGCTCGGGTAGAACTGAATGACACTGGTGTCCGAGAGGAGCTTCGAGCACTAGAGAACAAGAGGAGAGGAAACTCACTCTGCGTGTCTGACTGGGCTGGAACACTTGGCCTGGAAAATCAACACCTTCTGCACACCAGTGCTGGTGCTCACCACCTGCCAAGCCTGTTGGACCCTGGAAACACAGTGATGAGCAGAACCAGTGTGCTCCTGACGACGGGCATGAGACTGCTCACGCCGAGCCTCTGAAGGAAAGACACCACCACCTTCCTCTAGAAAACCCCAGACACGGAATCTCATCCAGAGGGTCTGCTCATCCACTCAACTAGGGCCAGCACTCCTGGTCAAGGGAGTCAACCAGTGCCTGCTCTCAAGAGTGTCTGCACGGGACTCCCATCTCCATGCCAACTGCTGCCCAGCATGGCTCCCTGGTTTATTCCAGGATGGCTTCAGTTCCTGAACACTTTCTGTGAAACGACTGCATGAGTAAAGCTCCAGGGCGCCTTCAAACGAGACCCACCATTTGCACTCACTCCCACATCTCCCTCTGAAGGAAGCGTGAGAAGCTCCAGAGAGCACGTGTCTCTCTGGAACTCTGATCTCCAGCGCTGAGCACCTTGGCTCTGCAGGGACTCGCTTGGTGCCCACACTGTCACTCAGGCCAGAGAGCTACCTGACAGAAAACTGGAGCCACACAACCTGGCCTTGAATACCCTAGATAAAGTCAGTTTATAATCAGAAACAAAAAAATCACCTTCTACCTTGAAGCAGTAAAGTTAATGCTCCATAAGGAACTAAAAAACCTTGATAGAAAAACGTCACTTAAAAAATATTTGGCCATTTAACATGCATATCCAACCTGCAGAGAATAGTTATGACCTCATTCTATCAAGAAGTAGGTTGTCATCTGTTCTCACTTTGTTACCCAGTATCCAAATTGTTAGTCACCAAGTTTCTCCTTAGCATTACATGCCTAAAAGTAAACAACTGTCTAATTTGCAGAACATCCTCTTACAGCCCAAATGTTGTTTGGCGAAGGGAACGGAGTGTGGGAAACGCGAGCTGTCAGAACAGTGGTGTTGACACCGAGAGTGTGTTTGGCTGCGTGCAGGCTGCTTCCGGCCATCTTGCTGCTTCTCACATGCCCTTCATGAGTGCGCCAACTCAAACCACGGCCGTGAGGTCCAGGGCGTGGAGAAAACAAACAACTCCGAGCCTTGGAGACTGTTTACAAGACACAGCTCTCGGTTCCTAGGGAGACCTCATCTCCCAAGCTCCGATACAGAGCCCTCCCACGTGGACCGCTGCCCACTGGGGAGGAGAGGCAGAACGCAAACAGTATCAAATTAAACACAGCTGGGGCTTCCCAACATCTGGGCATTGATGTTCCCCCTAAGCCAGTGTCAGAGAACATATATTTTATAAAGGAAAACAGGAAGCAGAGTTTTTTTAATCCAAAGTTAAAGTCATAACAATGTTATAAAGTTACCATTTAAATCAGAATTTTGAAGATTCCATAGGTTTTTAAAGCTATGGTTCAGTTTCAGAGTCAGGCACCCCAGGGTGTGTATTAAAAATACTGACTCTCTGTTCTGTGCCAAACCTACTTTTCCAATCCTTCAGGGAGGCAGGAAGAACTCAGTGTGTAACAAGGGCTCTTGGTAACTGCTCCATTCACACAAGCCGGGTCAGCACGCCCACGACGGGCGGCAGACTCAGAGTGGACTAAGCATTCCACCAACAGTGTTCAGAATCATCTGGGGAGCTTTAAATTTATTTATGTATTTTTGCTGACACTGGACACCGTCCAGGCCCACCAGGAACTTCCCAAGTTGCAGGCGGTGTCACTGCAGCATACCAGAGACCAGGGGATGCCCTGGTTGGGGTTGGCAGTGGCATTTTCACCAGGAGTGGGCAGAGCCTCCCAAAGAAAGGCGAAGAGCTGTGCAGTGCTCCTTGTACTTCTCCAAGAGCATGAAGCTGGGCTCCAACCTGCCACCAGATCTGACACACTTGAGGGAAATCGGGATCTCTTCATTCTTGGTGTTCTCCTGATACCCGAACTGGTTGCACAGGAAGTCGAGCAGGACCAGGCCCCGGGGCCCGCGGCTCTGCTGCAGCTCATCCATCTGGGTGTAGCCCGGACCTCTACGCCTCGGAGCCAGGCCACGTTCTCAGTAAGCAGCACCTTGCCCCCTGGGCACAGAGCGAGCAGTGCACACGGCCCGAGTGTCCGAGAAGAGAACGATGCCACTCCCAGAGATCCCGGTAGAGCTGGTCTGGGCGCAGTGTGGACCCAAGCCTTTTACAGCCCCCCGTGATTCTAACACCCCACTGAGGATGAAATCTACTGTCCATAAACATTTTCTGAAGGGCTGACTGATAAATTACTCTGCCTGGAACACCTGCTATCGAATGTTTTAACATTGCTAGAAAAATATTAAAAGGGTGTTTTTTATGTGTTTCCAATTAGCAGTAGTCTGGAAGAACACCAGCAGTTTCTAATTAAGTCAGAATTTTTAAAGAATTGAATAACCGAAGCAAATGGATAAACTAAAAGATGACCTGTGACTGAGTGCCAACAAAGAATGAATGCATGGATGGAAGGAAGGGAGGAAGCGGACTAATTGACCAGAGGACAATTACTACCCAGAATATGTGAAAAAAAAATCCTAAAAATCAATTAAAATAACACAAATAACAATGGAAAACTAGCAAAGGAATCGACACAAAGCATTTCACAGAAAAGGAAACCTCATGGCCAGTAAACGTGAAAAGATGATCAATCTTAAAATAATTGGGGAATCACAAGTTAAAACCACAATAAAAGAGGACTTTATCACCTCCTAAATGGGAAAGAAGACAGAAGGTCTGCTCACACCAAATGCTTGGAGGACGCCGGGCAGCACAGACGCTCACACCCCACCGCCACTGCGAGCGTCACAGCTGCTGCGCAGAATAACCAGGTGCTGGCCACACCCTGCACACGCAGCTCCACTGAGGTGTGGGCCTGCACCTAGAAAGGCCAGCAGACACGTCCAAGAGTGGTCACAGTAACACTGTTCACAGTAACAAAAAAAGAGGGAAGAACCAGATACCCATTAACAAAATGAATAATAATAATTTATTCTTCAGTCAACTAACTATTGTTAGGATGGCAAAACCCTCCGATCAACCTATAGGAACAACACAATCCCTATTAAAATCCCAGAAGGTTGGTTTGTTTGTTTGTTTGGGGAGGGGGGAATAAACTCATAATTGATCTAAAAAATCACATGGAAATGCAAAGGACCCAGAATAGCCAAAACAACTTTGAAAAAGAAGAACAAGTTAAAAGACTTACACTACCCAGTTTCAAAGCCTACCACAAAGCTACAGTAATCAAGACAGTGTGGTGCAGGCATGATGACAGACTTAGAGATCTGTGGAATACACCTGAGAGTCCAGAAACAAACCCTTACATTTATGGTCAGTTGACTTTGGATAAAGGTGTCAAGACAATTCAATAGGGAAAGAATGTCTTTCTAACAAATGCTATTGAGGCAATTGGATCTCCATATGTAAGAAAAATAAACTTAGATTCTTACATCATATTCAAAAATAAATTCAAAATAGAACACAGATCTAGACATAAGAGCTAAAACTATAAAACTTCTAGAAGAAAACACAGAAAAAAATTCTCATGATCTGGGGTTAAGCAAAGCATTCTTAGATACAAATCTAAAAGCATACACCAAAAAAAGAGACAATTGATTAATTGAACTTAATTAAAATAAAAAATGTATACACTTCAAAGGACATCATTAAGAAAATCAGAGGACAAGCCATATGCTAGACAAAAATACTTCTAGCCCTGGCCTGTTTGGTTCAGCAGCTGGAGTGTCGGCCTGTGGTCCAGAGACACCCGGGTTCGGTTCCCGCTAAGGGCACGTGCCTCAGTTGCAGTTTGTCCCCGGCCCTGGTTGGGTCATGTAGGTGGCAGCCACTCGATGTGTCCCTTTCATGTCGATGTTTCTCCTTTTCTCTCTCTTTTTCCCTCCCTCCATCCCTCCCTCCCTCCCGCTCTATCTGAACAGAAAATGGAAGAATGTCGTCAGGTGAGGATAAAAAAAAAATACTTCTAGATCATAAATTTGATGAAGAATGTGTATCAAAGATATATAAAGAACTATTACTACTCAGTAAGAAGATAAACAACCTGACTTTATAAATGGGCAAGCCTTGAACAGACGTTTCACTAACAAAGATACAGAAATGGCCCACAGCACATGAAAGATATCAACATCATTAGCGAGTATGGACACGCAAGCTAAAACCGTGATGCAGTGCCTGCAAGCCCACAAGCACGACTGTCATCCACAGACGACTGGAAAGCTGCTGGAAAGACGCAGAAGAGTGGAACACCCAGACACTGGCGGGGATGCAAGTGTGGCAGCCATTGTGCAGAGCAGGTTGGCCATTTCTCAAAAAGTTAAACATAAATGTGGCATATGACTCAGCAGTTCCACTCCTAGGAACCTACCCAAGAAATGAAAACGTGTCCGCACAGACTTGTATGTCAATGTTCACAGCAGCCTTACTCGTAAGAGCCAGAATGGGAACAGTCTAAATATCCATCAATTTACTAACAAATAAGTAAAAGGTGGTTATTCATAGAACAGAATACCAGTCAGCAGTAAAGAGGTGCTGGCACTACCACATGAGGAACCTCCAAAAAACATGTGCTAAGGATAGAAGCAGACTGAACGATTCCGTACTGAGTGACCGCACAGGAAGCGTCCGGAGTTGAAGCCCACAGCCTCGAAGAGCACCAGCCTCCCGGGGCTGGAGGTGGCAGGGGAGTTCGCTGCAAACACTCAGAGGGTCCGAAAAACACTCAGGGAGGGTGACAACAACATTCCCAGGGACGGTGACAACAACATTCTAACACGGGATTGTGTAATAGCTGCACAACTCTGAACTCACTGAAAATCACTGAACTGCACACTTACAGTGGTGGATTTTAGGATATGTAAAATATACCTCAACAAAGCTACAAAAAAAAAAAACCTTTATTGCAGAGCCAATAAGGTAAACTGCTCTCATTTCTCTGCACTCTGCAGCTTCACTATCTTTATTAAATAAAGAAGGCAGGACAGGACTTAGAGTATCGAAAGTAAAGCAGTCACAATTAACTGGAGTGGAGGTAATTAAACACGTTCAGTTATTTTCTCTGAGAAGACACAAATCCACTCTCCACATGTAAAATTTCTAAGTCACAGTCCTACGCCATAGTGCTCTATGCACAGACGTGGCCACTAAGAACATGTTGAAGAAGCACTTGCTAATTTAGATATTTTCTCACTTGAGCCCTGCAGCAAGCAGTCCCTGGCATGTGCGTCCAGATGACAGGACCCTTCTTCATGGGTATTTACATTAAAAACTAACAACAGTGATGGAACGGAAGTGGGCCTGGGTTGTCTTTGTCATGAACACCTAAAAATAGCACCTGCCATACCCAGTGCCACCTTATCTGAGTCAAGCACCCGGTGCAGACTCCCAGGCTCTCCTGACCCTGCCCTCAGAGCAACAGGTGGGAAAGCCAACGTCACATGGCCATGACACTGAACAAAACTGGGATCTATCCTTCTGAAGTAAAGTGGCTGTTCCAATTCCTCGTTCACTTTGCTCTGAGATAATGCAGCGATTATGTTTTACAGTGTGTCTGAGCACAGTCTGCCAGCACAGGATGCTCTGAAGGGTCAAGAAACAGAGTAAGCTGTTTTCCTTACAGAATTTGCTCTCGTAACCCAAGAGTTGTCACAGAGCAACACATTCATCAACAAAACCAATTCAACAAATGTAACTCTCCTAACACCATAAGTACATTTTCTTTGTCACATTAATTATGCAGAGTATGACCCAAAAATGTACCTATCTGGGACACACAACCATTAGTCCCAAAGACACAAAGAAAACCTGGTCAAGGAAACCCAAAATACAGCTGGTCAATCTTTAGTGTGTACAAGTCACAAATACGTCAGGGGCTGTACTGGGCCACGCAGAGAGCATCACTGGTGCTGCATCGAGGGTGAACTTCCTGAACTGCACATGATCAGTGTGGCTGCACACAGCGGTCCGGGACTAGCCATCCCATGAAAACAGGTCCACGGTAAGCACACGAAAATGGAACAGAAGAAAAAGGTAGACCCTGAAGGCAGGCCTTGGAAAACCCTAATTCTCCACAAAGGAGTTTCACATAAGGAATTCCGAAGAAAGAGGAAAAAAATCACTAGACCTGACCTGGATGACTATTTTTAGTGCCTTTACTTTCTGGTCCGAAGCCCAGGCGTCCTTCAGCGACTGGTTAAGTTCCTCTATTCGATTCACATAATCCTGTTGCGTCAAATTCAGCAGTTCCTTTTGAGATCCCTGTGGGAAGAAAGCAGGACAGTGTAAGCAAAAAGGGAAAACATCTCCTGACTTCCAACCCCATGAACAGTACTGAGCCTCGTTCTCGAAGTCTTGCGCACAAGCTCACCAGGATCAACAGTCCTGTCTTGTGCAGGAGGTCCTTAAGTTTTCTGCAAAGTTGAGCGGAGGGCAGTGACAGAAAGACTAGCTTTGGAGGCTGGTCGGACCTAGCTAACGCCCAGCTCCGCCCCCGCCCACCACATGATTCTGGGGGAGCTGCTTTCCTACCGGAGCCTCACCTGTGGTCAGACAACAGGGTAACCAATAGTCACCACACCCACCATGCACAGACAGGTACGCCAGTTAGCTGAGATACAAAAGCAAGCAGAGACATTATTTTTGCACTAACCATACTTAAGGCACACAGCACAAGACGGAGGTTAGTGCAAACTGACATAAATTCGTGGAAGGAAAAAATAGTTCGCTGAACCTGAGGAGCCACTGTAAGAAGTACAACTGCTCCATGTATCACCAAGGAAAACACCTACTGATAACTGACATGTACCAGCTGAGTGACATGGCCCAATTTCAGGGACATTCAAATGTCACAGAAAAGGCTCCTCTTAGAATGAGAAATATGATAACAGGAATGTACTCTAGACTGGTGGTCAAGAATGGCTTCCTGGAGGAAGTGACGCTGGAGACAAACTCTCAGTGGTATACAAGTAGGCACTGGGTTGCGGGGGCTGTTAAGCAGACCAGAGAGAGGGCATTCCGGACACAGGATGGACCACAGCCAACACTTGTGGCACAAGAGAGCAAGATCGACCCACGGACGAAGTGACAAAGTGTGAAGACTTCCACAGCCAGCCACTCTGCGCTCAGCCACCTTGCCTACTGTGAGAAGCTGAGCTCACAGGACTCAGGGTCGTTCCAACCCTCGGGAGGACATCAGGAACCACATGGTTTATGTGACTGTCCCTGGAAACCAGAGAGAAGAACTCTGTAAAAGAAAGTAGTAGGCTCAGGAAACTCAGACTGATCCCAGCTGGTCATCTGAACTGTGAGAAAGGGCCCTCCCTGCCCTTCTAGTAGGAGGAGTCATGTGAGGAGTCTAGGCAAATGGGTTGAGCGGAGAGGCAAGTGTCCCTTTCGGACTGTCAGCATGGCGATGACAACCCTGGCAGCCATCTGCCGAGAGGGCGGCCCCAGGAGACGAGTGTCTGTCACCTGCACTGGGTGAGTAATGAGAGGAAGAAGTAACCCTATACCTAAGCCCGGAGGTATGGGGGTCCATCTGCTACTGAAGTGTAACCCAGCCTCACCCTGGCGAACACAGTGTTAACTTGGAAGCCATGGGCAGCCATCTCTGCAGTAAAAAAAAAATGGAGAACTAGACATCGAATCAGTGATGGGCGTTGGGGCTGCTACAAAGAACCAAGAGCCCAAGGAGAGCTGCTGAGTTCCTGGTGGTTCCACAGTCCCTGGACCCAGGCCACTGTGTCCTTAGGTTCAGAAAAGTGCCCTTTCCTCTTTCAACCTAGTCCCCATTTTCAACGTAAGCCAGCTCAAGTGACTTTCAGAGGCTCGCAGATAAAGAGCTTGGATTAAAACCCTCAGCACGTCCCTTCCTACCTGCTGAGGTTGGCTGATGATATGCAGACAGGCTCACCAGCAACCTAGTTCAAAATGTGTCCTGCCTGAATTGGGGAATGACAGTGGATTATTAGACTCCACTGAGGACCAACAACTCTAGTCTCAGAGCTAGAAGGACCTTGAACCAAGAGGCAAGACATAAGGCAGAGAAATGCAACCACCATGATATGGCCCTTCATGGATTTCAAAGCATCCTCATCAATTCACATGACTAGCTTCTTCATTCCCATTTTACAGATGAGAAAGTGGGCAGAGAAGAGCTGAATGGCCAAGGGCACCCTGTTAAAGAGCAGTCGAGCTGAGGCCTCTAGACTCAGGATAATGACGGTGACAGCAGCTAACATTGCTGGTCTGAGCCCTTCCTATACATTAACTCATTTAATCCCTGTAACAACCCTAAGAGGCAGCTACTATGTAGCATTCCCATTTTATAGATAAACTGAGGCACAGAGCTGTTAAGCACCTTGCCCAAAATAACAGCATTGCCAAACAGCAAAGCTGGGATTCAAGCCCAGGTAGTCCGGTTCCAATGTCCTCTTCCCCACCACGCCATGCTGCCTCCCTACATATTTCAAAGGATGCAAATGCACCTGACTCTAGGGGCCAAGCTAGCAATGCTCATAAGTGATTTACCACAGGAAGGACTGTGCAACCTGGACAGTGCATGCCCTGGTCAAATGCAAGAATGTGGGCCCACAATGACCAGGCAGAATTCAAGTGAAGCAGAAACTGAAGTTATGTTCAATTCACCAATTTTTAAGAGGTGGTGAGTCATGTTTTTTGAGAGCACATGCAAGCCAATTAAGAGTCCTATGGGCCGTGCCCAACCAAAGTGGCTGTGTAGTCTGCAGCAAGGAAGGACTTGATCCTATGCATCCCAGGAAGACAGCTCCAGCCGGCATGCACAGCAAGACCGTCCCAGGTGATCTGGGCTTGCTCAAGCATCACAGTGAGAAAACATGCCTTCAGAAAAGCAGTGTGAGCCTGGGGCAGGCTCCTGTGAGCTCAGTCAATGCACCACTGGCATCTTTCCTGGATCAGCTGGTGCCTCAGGAGGACCAGGCACAATGCACAGCTTGAGATTAATCAAAGAGCAGCCTCGGAGATGGAGCTCACTGGGCAGGAGACATGAGAGCACCACGGCCCTGTGCTCAGCCAATGACCTGCTCACCTCCTCAAAGTCATCCAGTTCTTCCAGCCTGGTCCGAACCTTCTCTGACACGGCGAATGCAGCAGGCCCGGCTCTGCCTAAACAAAGTGGGCTCAGGTCACACGGGTCTTTCCTCTGTCCCCAGTACCCCCGCAGGAAGTGTCTTTGACTTTACACTTCAGCATGAGTAAAAAGGCCAGGGAACAGTTTCAATCTGAGATTTGGAAAGCAACATCCTTCCATAAGAAACATTTCTGGCCCTGGCCGGTTTGGCTCAGCGGTTAGAGCGTCCGCCTGCGGTCCGGAGAGACCCGGGTTCGGTTCCCGTTAAGGGCACGTACCTCGGTTGCAGTTTGTCCCCGGCCCTGGTTGGTTGTGCGGGTGGCAGCCACTCGATGTGTCCCTTTCACGTCGATGTTACTCTCTCTCTCTTCCTCTCTCTCCCTCCCGCTCTATCTGTACAAAAAAAAAAAAATGGAAAAATGTCCTCGGATGAGGATAAAAAAAAAAAAAAGAAACATTTCTGCTCAGAAGCTGCCCCTGGGAGCTCTGAGGACAAGCCTCAAAAAGGTTTCACTATGTTCAATACTTATAGACTTTTACTGCATCCTTTATTTATTCCTCAAGAAAGGCGGTCCAGATAAAGATGCCAAAAATCCATCATTTAATTGTTTTCCACGAACAAGAGGCCCTCTTGGGCTGGTCCCCAGTGCAGAATTGTTGTACCCTCACACTGACCAAACACCTCACCGCCTGCCCGGAAATGGGAACGCAGGGGCTTCAAAGCCCTGTCTGCCAGCAAACAGGACTAGCTGTGTCTCCGTCCTTCACCCAGCGCAGTTCTTTCCATCAGCAGAGATGGGGGACAGAGATTAAGGAGAGAACTCCAGGCCATGAGCCAGCTGTAGGGCAAGGCTCCTATTTCAGAATCCTTCCCATTCTTAAGGGGGCCTCTGGTTCCAGATCCAAGGTTCCCTTGTTCCTGCCTTCCAAACACACTTCAGGAACTCAAGTTTATTCTTTTAAGACACTGGTTTCTTAGCTCTGGTGTTAACTCAGATTTGTCTGGAGAGCATGGTCTTATTAATTACTACTAAATAACTTTCTAAATAATTCTATTTTTTTTTTACCTTTTTCTTTTACCTTCTTTCTAAAATATGCTATATATGGAATTGTGCATACATGTACACTTTAATGTTACTAAACTGTTGTGACCACCACTGCGTTCCCTTGTTTCCGCTGCTGTCTGGTCCGCTGTGTGAGAACAGCACAGCTCAATTCTCAGTGCGCGTCTACTTCCTGTGCGGGGCCACTCTGCACAAGGCAGTTCTGACACTCTGCGACGCCTCCTGGTCACAATGCATGCATTTCCTCCGGCAGTGCTTCTCCAACTTTTACAGGAGTCAAAATCCGAAGAGTGCATGAACATGCAGATTCTGATTTTCAGGCCTGGCAGGGCCTAACTGCATTTCTAATGAGCTCCCAGTCACCTGTTGGTCCTCAGACTGCACTTTAAAAAACATAGATGTGCCCTAGCCAGTGTTTCCCAAGAGTCACAGGTTCGATTCGTGGTTAAGGGCATGTACCTGGGTTGTAGGTTAGATTCCCAGCCCCAATGGGGACACGTGCAGGAGGCAACCAATGGATGTGTCTCTCTCACATCGATGTCTCTCTCTCTCTCTTTTTCTCTCTCTCTTTTGCTCTCCCTCCCTCCCTTCCCCCCCCCCCCCCAGTCATTCTAAAAATCAATGAAAAAAATATCCTCAGGTGAGGATTTAACAAACAAAACACAGCTGTGGGCAGAGCAGAAAAAGACTTTATGTAGAGAGCCAGACACAGAACCCTAGGTGTGTCATGCAGCCTCTGCAGAAAACTCGACATTGCCATTACCGCACGCAGCAGCCGTTTCCATGAAACTCCATTTACAGACCAAACAGTGGGCAACACTTGGACTGCAGGACGCAGTCTGCTGATTTCTGATTTAGGGCACATCCTAGTAGTAGGATTTCTGGGCCAAGGAGGTGGCCCACCTTCCATTTTAATAGATAATACAAAAATACTTCACACAGTGGGTAATGTATAAAAGTTCCTGCTGCTGTACATGTCACAAGAGATACCATCAACCTTTTTTATTTTTCCAAATTGGTGGATATGCAATGCTATGATTTCTTCTTTATGGTTTGGGGGCAGAGTTATGCCCCTGACCAAGGTGCCCGCAGTCTCTGGGTTTCCAATGTGCTGTCTCCAACTGCAGAGAAGGGGAGTGCTGCAGCTGCCACACTAGCCATTGACACAAAACCATGGCCCAGCTCATCTGACCCGCTGGTACATGATCTGTCAGTCGCTTCAGAATCACCTGGAAGCTTCAAACAAAGAAATTCCTGGGCCCATCCTCAGGATTAACTCAGCAGGGGCAGTGGGCAGTGGTCTGCACTTTTGCAGAGGTCCTTGGATGACCCTGTCATACAGACAGTTTGCGAAGCCCTGGCTCAGAGCTTCTGACCATGAGTCTCAGCAGACGGAACAGAGAAGTGCTGTGTTCGAAGACCAGTGGCCAATAAGTCTGAGTACGGGACCCCCCCAGCGGCCAGTAAGTCTGAGTGCAGGACCCCCTCCCCAGCACATCTGTATTTTTACAAGGGACGGACCCCTACTCTGTAACCCTAAAGTCTAGCAGTGGGCTTATGTTTTACTCCATGTAACTCTTTGGTCTTTTTTTCCATTCATCATCTAAATATGTATTTCCATTCTACTAAGTCTATATATAACCTAGGACAGCTTCAGTTGAATTAATAATCAGAATTGGATAAGAAACACAGTTTTTTTCCTTTGTGAAATTATATGAAAGGTAATGAGAGACTTCCCCAACAAAACAACAAAAACTCACCTTTTTCAGATCCCATAAACAGATTCTGCAGAAGTAAAAAAAATAAAAAAGAAGAAAATGTTAATAATGTTTTTAAATTACTGAATTCCATGACCAAAAGAACTTGTAAGCTACTTAAATTAGTATTCAAGTAGCACTAAGACAGTAAGACCCATCATTTTCCAACAAAGTCATTTACATATCCAAATGGAAATTAGAAATATTTATTCAAGGGATGAAAATACACCTAAGTAGAAACTACTGGAGACTCTTATTTCTACTTAATTCAGGTCTCTCAAAGGGAGCCAACAAATAGCCAAGTTTTGAGGGCAATGGAGTCACATGACAGCAATCAGCGCACCCTAGATCAGGGCTTCAAAACCTCAGCACTACTGACATTATGGGCTGGAAAAGTTTATTGTGGGACATCCTGGGCTCTGTAGGGTGTCCTGGGGGCACTGTGGGATATCCTGAGGGTACTGTGGGATGTCCTGGGGGCACTGTGGGGTGTCCTGGGGGCACTGTGGGATGTCCTGGGGGAACTGTGGGTGTCCTGGGGGCACTGTGGGACGTCCTGGGGGCACTGTGGGGTGTCCTGAGGGCACTGTGGGTGTCCTGGGGGCACTGTGGAACATCTCGGAGGCACTGTGGGTGTCCTGGGGGAACTGTGGGTGTCCTGGGGGCACTGTGGGACGTCCTGGGGGCACTGTGGAACATCTCGGAGGCACTGTGGGACGTCCTGGGGGCCCTGTGGGACGTCCTGGGGGCACTGTGGGACGTCCTGGGGGCACTGTGGGACGTCCTGGGGGAACTGTGGAACATCTTGGAGGCACTGTGGGACGTCCTGGGGGCACTGTGGGGTGTCCTGAGGGCACTGTGGGACGTCCTGGGGGCACTGTGGGACGTCCTGGGGGCACTGTGGGACGTCCTGGGGGCACTGTGGGACGTCCTGGGGGCACTGTGGAACATCTCGGAGGCACTGTGGGACGTCCTGGGGGCACTGTGGGACGTCCTGGGGGCACTGTGGGGTGTCCTGAGGGCACTGTGGGATGTCCTGAGGGCACTGTGGGGTGTCCTGAGGGCACTGTGGGATGTCCTGGGGGCACTGTGGGACGTCCTGGAGGCACTGTGGGACATGCTGGGGGCACTGTGGAACATCTCGGAGGCACTGTGGGATGTCCTGGGGGCACTGTGGGACGTCCTGGGGGCACTGTGGAACATCTCGGAGGCACTGTGGGGTGTCCTGGGGGCACTGTGGGGTGTCCTGGGGGCACTGTGGGACGTCCTGGGGGCACTGTGGGATGTCCTGAGGGCACTGTGGGGTGTCCTGGGGGCACTGTGGGGTGTCCTGAGGGCACTGTGGGATGTCCTGGGGGCACGGTGGGACGTCCTGGAGGCACTGTGGGGTGTCCTGGGGGCACTGTGGAACATCTCGGAGGCACTGTGGGGTGTCCTGAGGGCACTGTGGGATGTCCTGGGGGCACTGTGGGGTGTCCTGAGGGCACTGTGGGATGTCCTGAGGGCACTGTGGGGTGTCCTGGGGGCACTGTGGGGTGTCCTGAGGGCACTGTGGGATGTCCTGGGGGCACTGTGGGACGTCCTGGGGGCACTGTGGGGTGTCCTGAGGGCACTGTGGGATGTCCTGGGGGCACTGTGGGACGTCCTGGGGGCACTGTGGGGTGTCCTGAGGGCACTGTGGGATGTCCTGGGGGCACTGTGGGATGTCCTGGGGGCACTGTGGGGTGTCCTGAGGGCACTGTGGGACGTCCTGGGGGCACTGTGGGACATCCTGGAGGCACTGTGGGACATGCTGGGGGCACTGTGGAACATCTCGGAGGCACTGTGGGGTGTCCTGGGGGCACTGTGGGATGTCCTGGGGGCACTGTGGGACGTCCTGGGGGCACTGTGGGGTGTCCCAGGCACTGCAGGATGTTCAGCAGCACCCTGGTCTCCACCTACTTGATGCCAGTTGCACCCTCATAGTTATGACAACAAAAATGTCTCCCGACACTGCAGTATGTCCCCTGGAGTGTAAAATTACCCCTGGTTGTGAATCAATGCTCTAAATTACATGAATACATACAGAAAATAAGAAAAACAATTTACCAGTCCAACAGTTCTACCTGCCATTCTGCTCAACAAGCCTATGCCCTGAGCCCGGCTAGTATGGCTCAGTGGTGGACCAGCAACCCTGCACCAAGAGGTCTCGGTTCAATTCCTGGTCAGGGCACATGCCTAGGTTGCGGGCTTGATCCCCAGTGGGGGGCGTGCAGGAGGCAGCTGATCAATGTTCTCTCTCATCGATGTTTCTCTCTCTCCCCCTTCTCCCTTCCTCTTTCTCTAAAATCAGTAAAATACATCTTTTATAGCGGGAACGTGCCCTGAGAAGAAGAGCAGAGGCATTGTGGCAGAGCAATCCTGGCTGCCTACTGAGTCCTCTCTACTCCCGCTCACAGCTGGGCTTCGATGGGTGCACGGTCACATTTCCCAGTGTCCCTTGCATGTGCACACGGCCCGAGGCTACCTTCCCAACAAATGAACGAGGTGTGGCAAGGGGCTGTGGGAAGTCTCCACAGGAGAGCACACAGCCCGCTTCCCCTCTCCTGCTGACAACCTGGAGCAGAGGTGCCATCGAGCCCTTACCCTGTGGGGTCTGATCTTCTCCTTGGGCAGACAGTGTCGAGCTCGGTGAGCTGTAGGACCCCTAACTGGTGTCACAGAATTGTTTGGAGTGGGGGAAAACTCAAACATTGGAATTGGGTGCAGAATCATAGTAACAAAAAGAAATACTACTAAATCTGAGGTAGGCTCCAGGAAAGTGGACCGGCACTCACAATGGAGAGCTTCTCTGTGGTAGTATACCGGGCAAGGATTTCTCCTCGTTTGCTGGCCCAAGGCTCGAAGTCTGATCCGACTACGGAGTTTTCACCTCTGTCTCGTTTCTTTCTGGAACTGTCCTAAGGAAAGGAACAACAACCTCTTCATTGCCAATATCATTTCAATTTTAAAAATAATGTATAATCAAACACAGTGACTAAACATGGTATTGCATAACTGAAATTTGCTAACAGAGTAGAAAAATATTTTCCCAAAAAAGGGCAAATGTGTAAGGTGACAGATGGCTGTGCTAAGTCCCTGATGGGGACTTTCACAATGTGTACGTATCAGGTCTTCACACTGCACACTTTAGGGGTTTTATACATGTTTTTATTGATCTTTTAGAGAGATCGGAAGGGAGAGAGATAGGAACATTGATGTGAGAGAGAATAATGATCGGCTGCCTCCTGCACGCCCCCTACTGGGGATCGAGCCCACAACCTGAGCACAGTCCTGACCAGGAATCAAACTAGGATCTCTCAGTCCATGCTCAATCCAGAGCCACACTGGCAGGGCCACACTGTACACTTTAAATATACTGCAATAAAGTTGGTTGTTTTTTTTATCCTCACCTGAGGACATTTTTGCATTTATCTTCAAATAGAGCAGGAGGGAGAGAGGGAAGAAAAGAGAGAGAGAAAGATCAATATGAGAGAGACACATCGAGTGGTTGCCACCCACACAATCCAAACCAGGGCCAGGGACAAACTGCAACTGAGGTATGTGCCGTTAGCGGGAACCGAACTTGGGCCTCTCTGGTCCACAGGCAGATGCTCTAACCACTGAGCTAAATCAATAAAGGGCTGCAAAAGATTTTTTTTTTAAAGTATAAGAACGAGGCAGCTGGTACTTCACTGTAGAATAAAATACATCTGTCAAAAGGTTTGTTGTGCCCTGGCCGGTTTGGCTCAGCGGTGAGAATGTCGGCCTGCAATCCCGAGAGACCCGGGTTCGCTTCTCGCTAAGGGGTTGCAGTTTGTCCCCAGCCCTGGTTGGGTTGTGCAGGTGGCAACTACTCGATGTGTCCCTTTCACGTCGATGTTTCTCTCTCTCTCTTCCTCCCACTTTATCTGAACAAGAAATGGAAAAATGTCCTCGGGTAAGGATTTAAAAAAAAAGGTTTGTTGTGATAAAAAAAAAAATTTAGGCCAATTCACCACAAATGGCCAATAAACACATCAAACAATGCTAAAACTTATTAGGAATCAAGAATAGAAAAACTACCCGGACGACTGAGGGTCAGGGCACATGCCCAGGTTGCAGGCTTGATCCCAGTGTGGAATGTGCAGGAGGCAGCTGATCCATGTTTCTGATCCATGATTCTCAGATCGATGCATCTATCTCTCTCCCTCCCCCACCCCTCTAAAAACGTAAAAATAATAAAATTTTAAAAATCAACAAAAACATATTTAAAAAAAAAAAAAGAACGAAGAATAGGAAGACTGGACAAGATCGTTTTTCAACAATCAGAATGGCAGAGTTAACATGACTAATATTATCCTGGATGGAAGGGTGCAGAGACAGACACTCTGAAATACTGCTGATGGGGTACACACTGGGGAAGCCTTTCTGGGGAACAATTTGGGAACAGCCATCAAACCTTAACGGCATGTTGCCTTAAGTCAACGGTGAACTTCTAGAAGCTATCCTGCAGAATGCCCTGCACGTACGTATCAAGACGCACATGTGTTCAGGGACCAAGGCACCGCCATCTGCACAGGAAACACCAGGAGCAGTCTGTGTGCATTAGAAGGGAATGAAGAACTGAACTGTGCAGTACCCGTTCTTTAGAATACAATAAAATAAGGTTGTTCTAGAACACGGAAAGTTCGCCAAGACATATCGTCATGTTAACAATGAAGTATAAATGTAGTTCAAATTATGTTAAAAAAAAAAAAGAAAAGTACACAAATGCATGCAGCGCGCGCACAGAAGGAGGCTGCGGGTGTGGGTTCTGCAGGCGACTGGACAGCTGGAATTCCAGCCTGAATGGGGCTCAGCGCCCCCTCCCTGTGCTGGCCTTTCTGAACAAGGACCAGAACGCCTCTCTCACCAGGTGATGAGAGCTAACCCTGGTGCACTGAGAAGTCTGCCACACAGGACAGCGATGCTAGTGTGCTATTCATGAGTGTGATGTACACAACTACTCAAGAATTGCTGTCATACTTTCCTATGAAAACACAAGAAAAAGTCACAGAACACACATTTCACAGCTAACACTGATGACCTCCAGGGTGATGAGAGGAATTGGTCAACAGGACTGCATTTGTAGTGTTTGACTTTTGACATGAAAAATTAATTGAGTTACCTACATAATTACATAATAAACTTTTAAAAAGAACCATAAAAACAGTAAAATAAAAATTAAATATACATTTTCAAATGATTTTAAAAAGAACCCTGGCCGGGTTTGCTCAGCGGTTAGAGCTTCAGCCTGTGGTCCAGAGAGACCAAGGCTCAGTTCCCGCTAAGGGCACGTACCTGTTGCAGTTTATCCCCGGCCCCGGTTGGGGTTGTGTGGATGGCAACCACTCAATGTGTCTCTCTCACATTGATATTCTCTCTCTCTCTCTTCCTCCTTCTCTCACTTCCGCTCTGTCTGAAGATAAATGCAAAAATGTCCTCTGGTGAGGATTAAAAAGAAAAAATCTTCCAGGATCTGCACCAGCCTCTTACCACCAGGTCACCTTCCCTGAGCTGCACCCTGGGATTATGTGAAAGCACCCACACAACTTAAAAACAAAAAGATGATGCCTGGCTAGTGTGGCTCAGTTGGCTGATCCTCTTTCTGTGCACCAGGAGATCACAGGTTCAATTCCCAGTCAGGGCACATGCCTGAGCTGTGGGCTCGATTTTTAGTAGGGGGCATGCAGAAGGCAGCCAATTGTTTCTCTCTCATTGATGTTTCTATCTCTATCTCTCTCTCCATTCCTCTCTCTGAAATCAATAAAAACATATTCAAAAATGAATTAAAAAAAATTTTTTTTTTAAATGAAAACCCCCTTCCCTGTAACCACAGAACCAAGCACCAGCTGGATGACCGCCAGCAGGAGGTGTTACCGTAACAGCCGCTGTGGCCACGGGGTCAGCAGTGGCTGCAAACATGGACAGAGGGTCAGCTCCATCCAATACACCACTCAGCGGGTCCACCACGGAGCTGGAGGCAGAGGAGGACGTGGAAGAGGTGCTGCCTTTCCGGCTCACTTTCTTCGTCTTGGACTCGGTGACCTGTGGGGAACATTCATGGAGGTCAAATCAAAATCCCCTGCAACTCTTCTCTGTGAAACACCTGAAGAGTGGACTACTTCTTTGCCACAGGGTCTCTTATTTTGTGACAAATGAACATGACTCATAATCCTAGTGGTCAAGAAAGGAAAGGGGGTCATTAGGGTCAGGAAAGAAGAGACAGGGCCATTATGGTTAGGTGGTGATGTAATACACTCTTGTAGGGCCTTTTCAGTCAGAGTGTAGTCCCTGGACAAGCAGTAGCCATATCCCCTGGAAGCTTATAAAAGATGCAGAATCACCCTGGCCGGTTTGGCTCAGCAACTGGAGTGTCTGCCCGCAGACCAATGAGTCATGGGTTCAATTCCAGTCAAGGGCACGTACCTTGGTTGCAGTCTGTCCCCAGCCCTGGTCAGGGTCAAGCAGGAAGCAACCAGTCGATGCGTTCCTCTCATGTTGATGTTTCTCTCTCTCTCCCTCCCTCCTTCCCACTCTATCTAAAGATAAATAGAAAACTATCCTCGGGTGAGAATTAAAAAAAAAAAAAAAATGCACAATCTAGCCCAGCCAATGTGGCTCAGCGGATTGAGTGTCTTCCCATGGACTGAGAAGTCCCGGTTCGATTCCAGATCAGGGCACATGCTGGGGTTGCAAGCTCAATCCCCAGTAGGGGGCATGCAGGAGGCAGCCGACTGATGTTTCTATCTTTCTCTCCCTTCTTCTCTGAGAAGTCAATAAAAACATTTAAAAAAGATACAGAATCTCAAGCCCCACCAGACCTACTGCATCAGAATCTGCATCTCACAGCAATGGTCAAAGTAGGGTGATGAACCAGGACACGTAAGCTCCCGGGTCATTGTACTCTGAGGACAGTGTCAATGGCTCAGCACCGCCATCTCATCACAGCCAAGTACTGAATGCCAACTCCTTCCTTTCTGGAGAACTCCCAAGGCCACGCCTGGCTTTAAGTACTGAGGCCAAGAGTGGTGAGGTGTGAAGCCATCCCACCCCAGCTTCAGGTGACTGGACCAGGGTAAACCTCTGAGCCAAGAGGATCCAACCAGAGTCTCTGCTGAAAACAGAGAGCAACATTCAGAAGGGCTACTTAGGCTCCATTCCTTTTTATTTTTATTTCATTTTTTACCCTCATCTGAGGACATCTTTGCATTTATCTTCAGATAGAGTGGAGGGAAAGGGGGCGAAGAGAGAGAGAGAAACATCAATGTGAGAGAGACACACCGAATAGTTGCCACCCACACAACCCCAACCAGGGCCGGGGACAAACTGTAGCCGAGGTACATGCCCTTAGTGGGAACCAAACTGGGGACTGTCTAGTTCATGGGCCGACGCTCTAACCGCCGAGCCAAACGGGCCAGGGCCTCCATTCCTTTTTAACTGAGGAAGCTATGAAACCCAGAGGCCAGGGGCTGAGGGCAGTGATGAGCACCTTGGACACATATGCACAGGGAAGCAGAGGAAACCAATCTTCAAGAGAGCAAGACGGACAGCAGGTAACAGAGTAAAGGCAGAGTGCTGGATAATATAGAATCTGACTGGCCTTTGCCTTGGTTCCTGGAGAGGAGACTCTCAGTCCTTGGAGGGTGTGTCATTCACAAGACCCAGCTCCCATCACACTTCTGTTTATGCTAATGAGATGACAGAGCATGGGGACTGGTCACTGGAAAACCAACCACTGTACTTAGAGGGTTGGGGCCTTGAGCCAGGTGACCTCAGCTTGGCCTCGGGGGCAGGGGAGGGCCGGAGATCAAGTTCAATCACTTGGCCAAGGAATCAATCAGGTGTACATAGTGAAACTCCAATAAAACGTTTGGACACCAAAACTGGGGGGAGCTCCCTAGTTGGTGAACACACGATGGGCTGAGGTGAAGGCAGAGGCAGAGGAAATAGCAGCTCTGCGTTCAGGAACCCCTGAAACCTCACCCTGTCTGGCTCTTAACATGGCTGGTCCTCATTTGCATCTTTGTAATAAAACCGTAGGTGTGTAAGTGTAGCACTTTCCTGAGTTCAGTGAGTTGTTCTAACAACTTATCAAACCTGAAAGGGGGTCTCAGGAAACACTTGGGTTTGTAGCCAGTCAGTCAGAAGTATAGGTGACCTGGGGCCCTCAAGCGTGTGGCTAGTGTCTGAGCCACAGCAGTCTCACTGAAGACATTGCCCTTACCCTGGGGCCTGCCACCACCAGGGTGCTGGGCAAGTGCTTATCACTGGCACACTCTTGTCACTGTCTGCCTGGCATCTGGCCCTCCATCTCCCAGGTCAATCGTCCAAATTCTTTAGGACAGTGAGCCCCCCTCGTCCCTACTCAACTCTCAGCTCCTACAAGCTTGGTGGGGTGGACTCTGTTCCTGGTTCCCAGGGTGGGTGCTAGACCCAATCCAATCAATGAGCATATTCTATACCGTGGTCACCAGGATTGGTTCAGAGAAGGACAGGGAACTTAACCAGGTAAACAAAAACTGCTGGAGACGAGATTCCCCCTGCTGCTGTGTTGCTAAGCCAGCCAGATGTAAGCCCGGAGCTGATACAGCTACTCTGTCACCACGCGGGGAGAGTTCCTGAGAATGGAACCAAGTCACTGGTGGGTCAGCCGCTCAAGCCCATGGGGATATGAGGGGCCCTGGGAGACTGAAGGTCAATCTTGTGACTTCCTGCTTAATGCAATTGTCTCTGTGTGTTCTCAGGTCCTCCACTGTAAGAAACTGTGTGTCCTTGGTGTCCACTGCCATGTCTGTCAACCCCGTCTCCAGCCATGATGACAACCACACAGCCCTGATCACTTGCCAATGACTCAGAAGAGGGGTCATCAACGTCTCTTGCCTGCTTTGTGTTTTGTTTTGTTTTTTTAAATAAACTCACAGATAGACTACGATGCTACTCAGGATAGAGCCCTATACTGGAAATTAGTGATTCTTAATATTCCAAATAGGCAAATTAAAAAGCAAGATATTCTGCTTACGCCTCCAAATCCCATACTCATGACAACCTCATTGGCATGAGAAAGTAAAGAATAAAAATGATGGTGAGTGAGGCCAACCACAAAAAAATGGGCAGGGAACAAACTGATGGATTTAAACATGTAGAAGAAGCTACTGCTGGCAAAATGGAAAAGACCCCGGAAGGCTGCCTACAGTTCTGTGGAACAGAAACATCATTTAGGGAGGCCCTTGACAAAACTTACAGTGATGGGCTTCAGGGGGTGGCAGTCGCCCGACTCCAGAGGCACGGCCTGCAGCCGGCACGCTGCAAGCTCCGCCTTGTAGCTCCTGCTCCGGGAGTGCCTGCAACACAGCAGAACTGGGCCGTCAGGCCCTGCAGAGTCCTACCATTCTGAGAACTTGCTGAGACTTTCTCAGTGATGAGGTAGTTTGCACAGGAACAGTATTTCTACTAAGACCAACCAGAAATGCTAAATTTAAAAAACTTTTAAATCAGTTTGAAGTTATAAGGAGTTACCAATACATACAAGACCTGCGAGGTCAGACACCAGAAGCAAGGGAAGTTCACTGAGGTAAAGCCAGCGTCCGCAGGGCACTTGTTTATTCTTGACATGGATGAGAGGCTGGAGCAGTTGCTAGGACACACAGCAGCAGAAAGGAAAGGGCTTTAAGGAAACTTAACAGCACTAGAGAGATAAACTAGGGTTTGGGGCTATGGACACAGCCAGGACTTGAAGAAAGAGCTTCTGAAGAGAAGAGAGAAATCCAGGCCTGGTTTCCCCACAAAGTATCTGCCAGGTAAGTTATACAGAACAGAAAGAAGCCACGCAGAAAGTAGATGAAGAGCACAGTTTTCATCGGTCTGGTGAGGGCTTAACAAGTGAGATGAGTGGTAAAAGAGGAGACAGCACCCACACCGAAACAGGAAGGAAACAAAGGTGGAAAGCACAAACGAGTGTAGGTCTAACACACATACAACTGGAAACCAAAGAGTGAAAGAGAATGGGCAGAAGCAGTTTTTAAAGAGACGAGGCTAAAATTTGTCTCAAACTAAAGAAAGACATCAAGCTACATTCAAGAAACACCTGTGCCCCTAGTGAGCCTCAAAAACAAAACAAAACAACCATATTTAAGGTCTTCATGGTAAAAGAGAGTTTCTTAAAAGGAAAAATATACATTATTTCCAAAGGACAAGATTATTATATTAGCACAAAGATGGGAACCAGATGACAAATGAACTGGTACCTTTAAAGTAGTAATAGAAAGTAATTGCCAACCAGGCATTCTATTCTCGTGAAACTATCCTTCAAATACAAGGGTAAAAGAAATGTTTCCAGTCAAAGAAAAACCAAGAGCAGTGTCAGCAGCAGAACCAAACTTTAAGACAATACAATAAAATGTATTCAGCCCAGCCGGTGTGGCTCAGTGGATTAAGTGTCATCCCATGGACTGACAGTTCCCAGTTCCATTCTTGGTCAGGGCACATGCCCAAATTGCAGGCTCAATCCCCAGTAGGGGGCATGCAGGAAGCAGTCAATTGATGTTTCTCTCTCTCTCTCTCTCTCTCTCTCTCTCTCTCTCTCTTTCTCTCTCTCTCTCTCTCCCTTCCTCTCCCTCTCCCCCTGCAAAAAAAATAACTTACAGTGTTAAAATACATACAGAATTAAAATGCATAACAACTAAAACATAAAAGGCAGGAGAAATGCTGGTATGTAGTCTAAATGGTCGTTCGCCCAGATTCACAGGGTGAAATCCTGACCCCCAAAGGTGAAAGTACTAGGAAGTGGGGCCTCTGGGAGGTGATTAGGTCACGAGGAGTTCCATGAATGAGATTAGCACCCTTATACATATTAAAACAAAAACAGAAACAGAAAGCTCCGTCAGCCCTTCCACCCTGTGAGCACACAGTAAGAAGACATCAGCTATAACCTGGAAGTGGGCTCCTGCAGACACCAAACCTGCTCATGCCATGACCCTGGATCCCCAAGCTTCCAGACCGTGGGAAACAAATGCCTGCTGCGCACGAGTCCCCCAGTCCTTGGCATTGTTATAGCAGTCTGAACAGAGTAAGACAACAGCAACAACAAAAAACTGGGACCAGGAACGGGGTGCTGCTGCAACAAACACCTAAAACCGTGGACACGGCTCTGGACTGAATGCGGGTGGAGGCTGGAAGCGGTCTGGGGGACGTGCAGCTAGGCGGTCAGCATGGACGCACGGCCAAGGCACTGCGTGGGCTCAGAAAGGAGAGCCAGGACAGAATGCTGGCAGAAACGCAGAGGGCCTTCTGGGGAGGCCTTAGACAGAGCAGGGCTCCTTACAGGACAGGGATGAAAGGCAATCCTTGTTACAAAGTAGCAAAGAGCTTGGCCGAACTGTTCCTGCCCCAGAGTTTTGTGGAAGTTAGAACCTGCAACAAAACTGGCTGTCTGCTGAGGAAAATGCTCAGCAGAATGAAGCAGCAGCTTTGCTTCTCTTCCATGTTCACAGTGCAATGTGAGAGAAATGACTTAAAAACGAAACAGTGAACCAAAAGGGAACCAGACTTAGGTTCAGGAAAGTCCCAGCCTATCCATGTGGACAGAGATAAGAAGACATGTGGGTCAGACCGGCCTCCCATCACCGGCCCCAGCGCCAGGTCCCCTCCCTGAATTCCAGCACGCCAATCCTCGGCCACCCCACAAAAGACAAGGCACTTTCCATTTGTAAAATATCACCTTCCAGAAGAACAACTTTTCTGGGCACACGGGACAATTCCTGCCACCACTACCCACCCCTCAGGGAAAGAAAAACTAGAGCACAGGAACTTGGTCACTGTTCCTTTGATTCCGAATCCCTGACTTCCTCCTCCATACCCACTCTCCCACCCCATCCCAATCACAGCTTCATGACCTCATTAATGAAATACAAGCACCCAAATTTAACAGTACCATCCATCAGCTTTACTCATTGTCTCCACAACCCAGATACTCAGCCAGCATGAAAGAACTGAGCTCCCATCAAAGTTCATTCCCACCCTTTTTAAATAACCTTGGCTTTGGATGCAGCAGGAGAAAGAAGAACCAGGCTCTCGTTTCTAGCTTTGTAAGGCAAACCCCAACCACAATATACTGCCCAGGACCTGTAGGTCACGTTTGAAAAAATATACACTGTCTTCATCTTCCAAAAATATTACAGTTGGTGGTCACATATGAAATATTCTTCCAAACTTCCTTTAATATGCTATCAGCCAATCCTGACTTTTATTTATTATTTATGTATTTATTTATTTTAATCCTCACCCAAGGATATTTTTCTATTTATTTTCAGGTAGAAACAGGGAGAGACTGGGAGAGAGAGAAACCTCGACGTTGAGAGGGACACATCGACTGGCTGCTTCCAGCACGACCCCAACCAGGGCTGGGGACAAACTGCAACCCAGTATGTGCCCTTGCCTGGAATCGAACCCAGGACTCACTGATCCACAGGCCGATGCTCTACTGCTGAGCCAAACCGGCCAGGGCCAATCCCTGACTTTTAATATTTTTTTCTGTATTGATTTTAGAGAAGGAGGGAGAGGGAGAGAGAGATAGAAACATGGATGAGAGAGAACCTCAACTGGCTGCCTCTTCCTGCATGACCCCCACTAGGGATTTGGCCCACAACCTGGACATGTGCCCTGACTGGGAATCGAACCAGCAACCTCTTGGTGCATGGATCAACGCTCAGCCACTGAGCCACACTGGCCAGGCCAATCCCTGGCTTTTAAAACTTGCAAAATCCCAAGAGGAATGGCAGCATACAAAACTCCCCTGGTCTCTCCCCTTGAAGTTACAACAATTTAAACAGCTGTAATTCAACAGAGGTTTCCCTGCTCAACACTCAAATATGTCTGAGAGATCCACACGCTGAAGCTCTGAAGGTGGACCAGTGGGAGCAAACGGGGGAGGAGGAAAGGGACAAGAGCTGATGGTGCCATTAATGCAATCCAGAGATCACTGCGTGTCTCAGGAGAGGGGAGCAATCAGGTTGCCACTGCACATCTGGCTGACAGGAGGCGCAGAGAAATAGTGAGTGACCATACTATAGCTGAACCCAGTGACCTGGGCAGAGACTGAGCGCAGAGGTGTGGCCACGGGTGTCTGGTAGCCATCAATGCCATGCAGAAAAACCAAGCCAGGGAGCCTGACCTTCTCCCTCACCCTCTCAGACCTAACTTCCCCCTCGCCCTTCCAGAGCTGGCAGAGGGCCCCAGAAAAGCCGCAGCAGTAAGCATGGGGCTACAGGGCACATTATCTGTGGCCCTGAAGATGGAAGAGGCAAATGCATTTTCCCTGAGGGCAGGTGCACACTGCAGCTAATCCCAGGACAGAGGTGGAGACAAAGAGGTGAGCCCGCTGAGGTCTGCAGTCACCACTACTGGGGGGGAAACAAAGGCACAAACACACCAGCCGGCCTCTCCCTGCGCACCCCAACCCCACCCAGTCTGGCCGCAGGAACAACACTGGAACTTCACAGGTGCAAACTCCATCTCCCACCACATTCCCCCACAGGTCAGTGCCCTGAGACTAAGGCAACCTGGTCACAGAAGTGATATCCACCTCTCCAGGAAACACAGGACCTTTTCCACCACCAGCAGCAATCTGAGAAGCCAGAGCAGAGAAACTAAAAATCTTGCCCTTCAGCGCCACATACTGGAAAACAAGAGTTTTTCTCACTAACCTACTAAATAGATAAGTGCCCCTCTTTAAAAGAAAAACAAACCAGACTTCATTTCCATAGATTTCTAGGAAGAGAAAGAATTCATCAAATACCCTAAGTAACCAAGGTAACCGGGTAGGTCAGAAAAAAATTTAAAATCTCCAGAAAATAAACTTAAAGATATAAAAATAAGTGATTAAATGACAGAGAATTCAAGATTGCAATTCTAATAAAACTCAACGAGATACAAGGAAATGCAGGCAACTTAAGGAACTCAGAAATAAACTCCAGGAACAAAAGGAGTACTTCACCAAAGACACTGCAACTTTAAAAAAGAACCAAACTGAAATTCTGGAGCTGAAGAATTCAATAAAAGACATAATGAACTAGTGAGCAAAGGAAATAGAGCCGACTTAACTATGTCATCAATCCAGAAAGGCCTTCTCCAAGGCACCTTGTATTTAAAATGTCAAAAATTAATGACAAAAAAAGAATTCTCAAGGCAGCCAGGGAAAAGAAGATAGTAACCTATAAAAGAAATCCTATTAGATTATCATAAAGGTTTTCATTGTCAAGTTTTTCAGTAGAAACTCTAACAAGTTAGGAGACAGCAGAATCAAATATTCAAACTATTGAAAAAGACCAATGACCAGCCAAGAATA